TTATACTGTGTTTTTGATCAAATAAATGCAGCCTTGGTGAGCAGAAGAGACTTCTTTCAAAAACAAATAAATCTTAATGAACCAATACATTTGAGCGGTAGTGTATAGAACAAGAAATTGGAATAAACATTTTCTTTTTCTAAAACATTTTAATACTAGAAATATGCTGAGTGATGACATGTGAACACATTTGAATCAGAGTTCTGAATCTATTCACTGATAAACATTACAAACTCTTTCATGGAAACTAGTCTTGCCAACACTAACTTGCCTAGTAAAGTTTACATCAGAGATGAGGATCCTGAAACTAGTGTAAAGACAGCTTTGAGGAAGCTTGATAGTCATCAATCATCATATTCTCAAAGTCGCCTTAATTTATTTGATCTCGCCAGTAATGCATCTCGAATATTTGATATATCACTTTATCTCGGTATTTACATACATTTATTAGCAGTAAAAGCAAACATATGATATAATGAAGGCTTATTCTGAAGTAAGGAGTGACAGGGTTCGGCTCTGATTGAGGATGATGATTATACACCACAGGAACTTCTGCTCGTGTTTACATCTTGCAATTCAAATGTTATTTCTCACAATTGTGAGTTTATATCTCACAATTCTGACTTTGTATTTCTCACAATTGCGAGTTTACTTCTCGCAATTCAGATTTTATTTCTTGCAATTCTGACTATACAGTATAACAAGCAATTGCGAGTTTATATCTCGCAATTATGACTTTATTTCTCATGATTGCACGTTTATCTCCCAATTCAGATTTTATTTCTCGCAATGTGACTTTATCCAGAATTCTCACTACTTTTCTTGCAATTGCGACTTTAGAATTGCGAGATGAAAAAGACTTTTAAATTTTTTTTATTCAGTGGCAGAAACGGACTTCCATATTTTTTTACTCAGTGGTGTTAAAGACAGAAAAACCTTGGAGTATTTAATATGCATAATGCCATAAAACAAGTTGCACTTTGTTATATTTTACACTGCATAAATACAGTACATGCACTTCAAAGTCAGGGATTGATTCACCTCACGCTTGTTAGCAGGTGGATTGGACTTTTGTGCTCTCTGGAGACAAGCTAGAGTATGTTTGTTGTTCTCTCTGATCTGCATATATGCATCTATTCCCACAACCAATCAGCTGTGGGATAGAAACCGGAAAACGCATTCAGAATCCGTGCATAAGAGCTGTTCATTAGGCAACAGAGGAGTGCTCTTGCCTAGTAAAGTTTACATCAGAGATGAGGATCCTGAAACTAGTGTAAAGACAGCTTTGAGGAAGCTTGATAGTCATCAATCATCATATTCTCAAAGTCGCCTTAATTTATTTGATCTCGCCAGTAATGCATCTCGAATATTTGATATATCACTTTATCTCGGTATTTACATACATTTATTAGCAGTAAAAGCAAACATATGATATAATGAAGGCTTATTCTGAAGTAAGGAGTGACAGGGTTCGGCTCTGATTGAGGATGATGATTATACACCACAGGAACTTCTGCTCTCCCTCCGTCATCCTCCTTCCTTTAATTCACAGTCATCAGATCACATGGGGTTTTTCTCAGTTTCACACCACATGCTCAACTATGAGACACGTTCCTTATCTGACCTCCTCTGAGATGACCGCTTTTACAAAAGATTTAGAAGATGGATTTTTAGTGTATGAAAGCCTGGATCAGTTTTATTTCTGTTGCTCTACTGACCCCTTCTGGCTGCGTGTTATTACTACAGCATATGACCTCTTTCCCAGGAGGCTGTTTGTTCAGAAAGCCTTTCTCTTTGAAGCTGAATAACAGTAGACCTGTGTTAATGTTTAAACAAATAAATATCTACATAAAGATGCTGTAATTTCACTCCTCTGTTTTTAGTTGGAAGATTAGAGGAGCGTGAAGCTGAGCTGAAGAAAGAGTACAATGCCCTCCATCAGAGACACACAGAGGTAAGAATTCCTTCACATTTGCTTATGTATTTCAATAATTGCATAAGCAATTTGTTACAAAGCCAACAACATTTGTTGTATGCAATGCCATGTGTATAAAAAAAGCTCGATTAGGAGACAAGCAGAGCAAAGGAGAAATGCAGAGAAGAGAAATCTGATTTTTAAAAAAATTTTTATTCAAGTGCAAAGGTTGTGGACTGTTTAAATGCTGAAAGTTTTGTCTTCTGCTTCTTGGCCCTGTTTACACATGCTATTAAGATGCGTTTTCCTCGATCTGATCACAAGTGGACAACGTTAAATACAGGTGTGAACTAGGGCTGTCAAAATGGCTGAAAAACTAAATTCGAATTCTGTACTTAAATATGATCAAAATTCTAATTATATTTGAATTTAAAATGCATAATTTCAGTTAGGGTGAAGAAAAGTTTTGGCTTCTCTTCTGAGGCCACAAGAGGGTGCAGGTCGTAACAGTCTGATTGCCTAAATTTTGATTACATATAAATGCAGCCTTGGTGAGCAGAAGAGACTTCTTTCAAAAACAAATAAATCTTAATGAACCAATACATTTGAGCGGTAGGCATCATGTTTGTATGCATAGTTTAATACAAAGGGCGGAAAGCCAACCACACGGAGTAGATTTTTCATTTAAAAACATGAGATGCAGTGGGATGGGATAGGATTTGCTGATAGGTGACTAATGTGTTTTTTTTTTTGTTTTTTTTTCTCTCCCTCTCTAATCTAATTATTTTATTCATGCAGTAAACATTTAAAAATAGTTTTGGGGAAAAAAAGTAAAAACTGTGTTCAGCTCATCAGTAAATTATGCGAGCTTATTTCGCAATATTAGATCGAAAGATCAGAAAAGCCCCTCCCATCAAAAGAAATCATGACAGAAGTGGTCAAAAGTGGACGGAGGAGACCGATCAAAACACCAGGTGTGAAAGGGAATGTGTCTCCCTCGTCTGCTTGTGATCCATTTGACCAAAACGCATCTTAAAACCAGGTGTAAACAGGGCCCTTGAAAGTTGGTGGTTCAGCTGTTCAGGTGTAGGTTGTCACCTCGTTCCACCAGAGAGGAGCAGAAACGGTCTGGAAATCGACTTTGTCGTTGTGAAGAATCAAAGCCCTAAAAGATGCTTTTGCATGTAGTCTTTTGCTGCTGTCATCAAAGAATACTGTGTGTTTGGATTCACAGATGATCCACAGTTACATGGAGCACTTGGAACGTACCAAATACCAGCAGATTACAGGAGAGACCACAGACACGGCGAGTCAGAGCAGAATTAGGTGAGGAGGTTTCTGATCTCATTCACAAATGCTACACTATATTTCATCCACCTACACAGTTTCTAAAACCAGTTTCTGTGTGTATAGCTATAATTAATAGTTTTTGCTTTACTGTTTATGCCAGTTCCTTATAATGCGGCTGTGACTTGTACTTAAATAACCCTCGTGAAGTCTCCCACATGCATGCAAAATCTGTGAGCCTCTCCTAATGTAGGTCAGCGGTTTGTGTGTGTCTCGGCTGAGTGTGATATGGAGGGATTGAGTGAGAGAGAGAATCGTCTGGCAGATGTTAATGAAGACAGAAGCAGTGGGATGGATGGCATGGTGATTGTGTTATAGACTGACAGCATGAAAATTGAAGCATGAAAATGTGTATTTCACAGAGGCTTCACAAGCGTAACGTGACATGGTTTCTACATGGGTTTCAGTGATGCCGGCTCTAATCTGTTCATGCTTATAGATACAAACATTGTTATAATAAGGATCCCCCAAAATTGTGATCCTGTGAAGACCGTTATATTTTCACTATGTGACTGGAAAATAGTAAGTGTGATTTTAAAGACAACAATTAATTGATTACGCTAAAATTTTTCGGTGGACACCCAGACCGGACCACAGTTTGAAAACCCCTGTCCTAGACTGAGCCATGCTACAAATGTTGTGAGAATCATGTGTTGCTTGTGAAGGTCATGCCTGTTGGTTTATAGATGGATTTGTTCGGAGAGTCTATCTGCTGAGAGGATTATGGGATTATTTAAAAAAAAAAAACTTGATCATATCAAATCAAAGTGTTCGGAAAAATCAGCAGTATGTGGTGCAAGTCTGATACTAGTTTTATTGTACAAAGAATTATTTTTATTTCAGCATTGACTTTAAAGAATTTGTTTTATATTGAAGCCTGTTTCCGCCACTGATAAAAACAAAACAAAAAAAAACAAGGCAATTCCACCTTTTTATCTTTTGAAAAGATGTCAAAATTGTGAGATAAAAAGGTGCAATTGCCTTGTTTTATATTTTATTCATAAAGTCGCAATTGTGAGATATAATTGCAAGTTTATATCTCACAATTCTGACTTTGACACGCAATTGCATGCGAGTTTACTTCTCGCAATTCAGATTTTATTTCTTGCAATTCTGACTATACAGTATAACAAGCAATTGCGAGTTTATATCTCGCAATTATGACTTTATTTCTCATGATTGCACGTTTATCTCCCAATTCAGATTTTATTTCTCGCAATGTGACTTTATCCAGAATTCTCACTACTTTTCTTGCAATTGCGACTTTAGAATTGCGAGATGAAAAAGACTTTTAAATTTTTTTTATTCAGTGGCAGAAACGGACTTCCATATTTTTTTACTCAGTGGTGTTAAAGACAGAAAAACCTTGGAGTATTTAATATGCATAATGCCATAAAACAAGTTGCACTTTGTTATATTTTACACTGCATAAATACAGTACATGCACTTCAAAGTCAGGGATTGATTCACCTCACGCTTGTTAGCAGGTGGATTGGACTTTTGTGCTCTCTGGAGACAAGCTAGAGTATGTTTGTTGTTCTCTCTGATCTGCATATATGCATCTATTCCCACAACCAATCAGCTGTGGGATAGAAACCGGAAAACGCATTCAGAATCCGTGCATAAGAGCTGTTCATTAGGCAACAGAGGAGTGCGTGAGCAGCACACAAGAAAAGACCGCTGCTGCAAAGCTGCTCGTGTGTGCGTGCGTGCGTGCGTGCGTGCGCGGTTGCTGTTCGCCGTGTGGATGATGTCACAGCAGTGAGAGGCTGCAGAGCCGCGCTCACACACACACTCTGATCCTCGCGCTGCTGTGCCGGTGTTGATGGGATTGTTTTTGCGTTTCGGGGGGCAGCGGGCGGCCCATAGTGCGTGGAGGCAGCCATGAGTCCGGGATGCATGCTGCTGTTTGTCTTTGGCTTCGTGGGGGGAGCGGTGGTCAACTCTGCCGTTCTGGTCTCTCTCTCCGTTCTGCTGCTGGTGCATTATTCTGTCTCTAACGGCCTGCCCGCCATCACACACTCCCTGCCCCGCATCAGCAGGTACGCAGCGACAGTATGTGTGTGTGGATGATGCCTAGTTTTCTTTGTCACTGGCTGTGTCATATCCTCTTCAAGTTAAGCTTCTGTTTTCCCTGCATTTCTGTCAGTCTGTGTTTGTATTTTACTGCATTGCTTGTTCATCATGTGTTTGAGACTAGTCGAGAGAATGTAGTAAACAAGAGTGGATCAAGCATTGATGCGGCGAGAACCGGCAGAGCTGAGAGTCACACAGCACAGAGTTAATTTCTCTTGTCAATACAGTGCAGGGTTCTGTCTCTTTGCTGGTGTTCTGTCAGAGAAATGCATATCATTCTGTGTGGCTTCACTTTGTTCTGTGCTTCCATACTTCCTTAGTAGCCTAGTTTTCTTTGTCACTGGCTGTGTCATATCCTCTTCAAGTTAAGCTTCTGTTTTCCCTGCATTTCTGTCAGTCTGTGTTTGTATTTTACTGCATTGCTTGTTCATCATGTGTTTGAGACTAGTCGAGAGAATGTAGTAAACAAGAGTGGATCAAGCATTGATGCGGCGAGAACCGGCAGAGCTGAGAGTCACACAGCACAGAGTTAATTTCTCTTGTCAATACAGTGCAGGGTTCTGTCTCTTTGCTGGTGTTCTGTCAGAGAAATGCATATCATTCTTTGTGGCTTCACTTATTCTGTGTGGCTTCACTTTGTTCTGTGCTTCCATACTTCCTTAGTGCACTAGAGTTGCATTCAGTACAGCTCCAATTGAACACCTGATATTGTTTGCTGCTTTGAAGAGCTTTCTGTTGATTGTTTGGAGATGTTAAGCAGGTTTCATGTTTGTAGTGTCCTGTTCGTGGTGATTGAAATTGTAAAACATGTATACATTGTAACCTGAGCTTTAATATAAAAAAAAATGAGCCCTACACTTTTAACACTACCGTCAGATAAATATATCATACATATATTTTTAAATGTATTCATCAAGGACACATTAAATTGATCAAAAGTGACAGTAAAGACGTTTATAATGTGACACAAGATTTCTATTTCAAATAAATGCTGTTCTTTTGAAAATTCTTTTCATCAAAGAATCCTGAAAAATAAAATGCATCACAGTATCAGTATTTCACAAAAACATTGGGCAGCACAACAGTTTTCAACACTGATAATAATCAGAAATGTTTCTTGAGGAGCAAATCAGCATATTAGAATGATTTCTTTCATGTTTGTAGTGTCCTGTTCGTGGTGATTGAAATTGTAAAACATGTATACATTGTAACCTGAGCTTTAATATAAAAAAAAAAATGAGCCCTACACTTTTAACACTACCGTCAGATAAATATATCATACATATATTTTTAAATGTATTCATCAAGGACACATTAAATTGATCAAAAGTGACAGTAAAGACGTTTATAATGTGACACAAGATTTCTATTTCAAATAAATGCTGTTCTTTTGAAAATTCTTTTCATCAAAGAATCCTGAAAAATAAAATGCATCACAGTATCAGTATTTCACAAAAACATTGGGCAGCACAACTGTTTTCAACATTGATAATAATCAGAAATGTTTCTTGAGGAGCAAATCAGCATATTATACTGATTTCTGAAGATCATGTGACACTGAAGACTGGAGGAATGATGCTGAAAATACAGCTGCGCATCACAGAAATACATACAACATATTCACAGAAAACAGCTATTTTAAATTGTAATAATATTTCACAGTATTACTGTTTTACTGCATTTTTGGTCAAATAAATGCAGCCTTGGTGAGCAGAAGAGACTTCCTTCATCAAAAGCCTTACCAACCTCAAACTTTTGAACTATAGTGTATTTTAACATCATCAAAATGACTTTGAGGTCAAAATGTGCTTAATTGTCATGACAGTGTCACAAAAGTTTAAATAAGTTTCCAAAGTAGACTTTTTATTATGCTAATATTTATTTTACTATCAGTGGGTAAAGCTGACAATAGTTTTCTTTTCATGAGCAAAGCTAAAGACTGATAAATATAATTTGGGTAATAAAAAATGGATACAAATGTGATTTTAATATTCAACAAATACCCATTTCTGACTGTGATATGCTAACATAACTTCAGTAGATTTTGAAAGTGATTTTGATTGTTTAGAAAGCTGTTAACTACCTCTAATTTATCCTGACACCAGAGAGCAGCTTGCTTTGGTTGATCACGAGAATTGAAATACTTGCTTTCTGTGTTTTGATAAAAGGGAAACTGTTCTTGCTTCTGAACCCATCAAAGATTCATCTTTTTCATCTAGCTTTTGTATAATTTAGTTGCAGATAACTGGACTTGGCTTGCTGTTCCAATGCAAACATCATATTAGTTGCTTTTGACCAGTTTCTTCCAGGATTTCTTCTGGTTCTGCTTTTATAAATAGTCTGAAACAGAAACTGCCTGTGCTGTAATAGCTCTTCATGAATTGAACTTCGGACCTGAACTTCTACAACTCAACCTTTTATTGCATGACATATGTGACTGTCACTACGTGTCCTCTGACACGTGTGATTACGCAAGGTTTTGCCTTCAGCATGAGTATTGATGTGCATTCATGGAGCTCTGTCTGATGTATGAAGCTCTGATATGCATTGATTTACTCCCTTTTATTTTCACTTAACACACGTCACTGCGGTGCACTCAACTTTTGGGACGCTTGTTCCTCTGTAGAGATACAGCATGTCTGATTAGTTGTGTTATCTCAGATTTTTGTGGTAGTAGTTGAATTCACACTTCCTCAAATTTGGTCAAAAAAACCTGTACTTATATTTTTTCCTTACTGTACTGTTCCAGCTGAGTAGAGTGAATCCTGCTCATGTGAGCAGAGCCGCTCTGAATGTGCAGTCAGCAGGTTCAGGCTCTGAATGCAGCTCTATGGCAACCCACAACAGGAAGACAGACAATCAGAGAAGACAAAAGAAAAGCCCCATCAATCAAACGCTCCTCTGCTCTCCTAGAGGAGCTCTGATGTTTGGCTGTTTGCTAAGGCACATACTTCATGCACCTAAATCTAAAAACCTGAAAACATGCACCTTAGACTTCTATTGAGACCTGTATAAGGATCAGAAAAGCATAAAGACTCATGTTGGCTTGTCACTGATCCAAAGGCCTTAGAAACCACTTAAAACACCTACAGGGAATGTTGTCAGTCCGGTTGTAACACTGTGGCAATGAGTTTTTCTCCAAAAAAAAAACTATGTAAAAATGCAGTGAAACCAATACAATATGGTTTCATTTCTACCCTAAACTTGATATGAAATTGTTGAGAAACATGCTTCATTCATATCTGAATAAAGGACATTATGTAATCTATAATGTTTACTATTTAGTTAATAATTCGTTATTGCTGTTGCTCATATTTCTTACATCCAAAACAGACAAAAACATATCATAGACTTGCATCGAGATGTGGAAGAATCAGAATGTCAAAGACTTAAGTTCGATTTTTGACTTAGCAACACCCTACTTACCTCGCCAAACACCCTAGAAACCCCTTTAAACTCCTTACTGGGAAAATTGTCAGTCCAATTGTAGTGGTACCATCATAGTGGTAGTGAGTCTTTAGTCCGAAAGCATTTACATTTAGTCATTTAGCAGACGCTTTTATCCAAAGCGACTTACAAATGAGGACAATAAAAGCAGTCAAAACTAACAAAAGAGCAACAATATATAAGCGCAAATGACAAGTCTCGGTTAGCCTAACGCAGTACACGTAGCAGAATTAAAATAGAATAGAAAGTGCTAGAGTTAGAGGGTCTAATAAAAATGGAACACGTGTTTTTAGTCGTTTCTTGAAGATGGCTAAGCTGCTCGGATTGAGTTGGGCAGGTCATTCCACCAGGAGGGAACAGTTAATGTGAAAGTGATTTTGTGACTCTTTGGGATGGCATAATAATGCGTTGTTCACTTGCAGAACGCAAGCTTCTAGAGGCACATAACTCTGAAGTAATGAATTTACACACTAAAAAATGCTGGGTTATTTCAACCCAACTTTGGGTCAAATTTGCACTAACCCAACTTTTGGGTTAAAAATTTAATGTAAAAATGTAACCCAACAGTTGGGTTTGTCCATATTTGACCCAGTGTTGGGTTGAAACAACCCAGCATTTTTTAGAGTGTAGGTAAATGGGTGCAGAGCCAGTGGCGGTTTTGTAGGCAAACATTAATGCCTTGAATTTTATGCGAACAGCTACTGGTAGCCAGTGCAAATTGATGGTCAGAAGAAGAAAATGGAATAAAAATCTAGTTTAAACCAATGTAATTCTTGTTTTGGTAGCAGTGTAGTGTCATGTCTACCAAATACTTGATATGAGCTGCTGCGAAAAATGCTCTGTTGATATCGGAATACAAGACATTATGTAATCCATAAGGTTTCTTGCTTAAGTGTCCAATCGTATGTTTTGTGTGTATTCAGGAAGGAGCGTCCTGTCTCTCTGGGTATTTTTTCATTGCCGGGAAGTGATGTGATGACCCCCGATCTGCACAGGGAGGCTGTGGAGACTCCAGGAACGGACACATGGAGATACAACAATATCAGCCACCCGCGCTCCAACACCAGCATTAAGGTGAGAAACACACCGGTTTGCAGATAATTTACTTGTATTACATCCCTAGTTTGGGAGCGTATGGTAAAGAAAGACCTAATTTTTAAAGATATAAAAAGCCTTAAGATATTCCTTAAAATAGAGTAGGACTGGGTTGACAGTTGATTTCTCGATTAACCAATATTGATTGTTAAATCCCAAGATCAATCTTTTAGTCTAAGCTGTTTTGTGTTGATGCTTGAATGAACCGTAACAAAATATTATTTACAGTACACATGCCATACAAAAATCACCATAAGCTTTGTTACTTTTGATATGAAATTCTCAACTTTCATAGTGATATTGTGTCAAATCACGTAAAAGGTTTGTGTTGCCTGACTTTGATGACTGTCTTCAGCACAGTTTGCAGATGTAAATTTATGTTTATTATAAAAAACAGTCACATCGGTAAAAATTGTAACATCCTCATTTTTATATGGTGAAATGTAATTATTATGACCGAGTTTTCTTTTAATTAACCATTGGTCTTCCATAGGAGCATACATTTAGATCATGATCACCACAGTTAAAACCACACATACCAACACACCTCAATACCATGGTTAAAAATGTAACTATATACTTTCTAGGTATTTGTATCTAAATCTACATTTAGTATAAATGCCAAATGCTACAACTTAATCACAAAAAATAATGTAGTTATATTCCATTACTCCTTTAATATATTTGTCTACATTAATAATATATTAAAATTCCATATGAATATCCCACATTTCTAACACAATAGCATGGTGCCGTTAGTGTTACTACAGTAAATCCATGGTAAATGACGATTTGTAGATTGAAAAGCCTTCTGACTGTATTGTTGCGCACAGTGTTTCTCCTTTTTGTCAGCGCTGTTTCATCTGACTTTAAATTAGCTTAAATCAGTGAGTCATTTGTGTTCTTCGCTGAATTAAAGTGCTTCACATTGGATCTCACAGCGCTGTTTAGCGCTCGTGTGACCGAGTCTTATCCGTGAATAAATGCATCTGCTCTATAATGAGCTCGCGCTGTGCTGCCGTTTGAACTTTGAGCCAAGCGGATAAATGCTCTGTGTGATGCGTTTCAAATGAGTAGCGTTGTTTCGTTCTGCTTTTGGCACATAAACATTATATCGAACGTTTATCAAACTCGTCATTGTTTTATCTAGGAAAATCATAGCACGATAATTAGGGCTGCTCGATTATGGCAAAAATCATAATCATGATTATTTTGGTACTATTATGAGTGGGCCATATGACAACTTTATATGATTGATTTATTTAAAGATAGTGATATATATTAAATATATATTTTCTGTAAATAAGGATGCTATGACATCTACGTTTTAGAGACCAGCGAAATTTGACAATTCTCAATACCACTGCAGAGTAGGGTAACTGACAAAAAAGTCCTCAATTATTGAAAATAATTAAACTGTCGGTAATAAAAAAAAAAAAAGAGCAAAGGACAAATGCAATAAAATATAAAGATACAAATGAAACAAACTGTGCTTTAAGGTTTAAGTCTCAAGTATTCATTTAACAGAAATTAATACTCAAATGTAAAATATTAAAATAATATTAAGCACAGTCAAAGCAGGAATATAGCCGCTGTCACTTTAAGAGCCGCACGGATCCAATTTACCGTTACATATGTGATTTCTTTCTCAACTGTTTGTTCATTTATTACATGACCGATGAAGGTTTACATGAATAATAATAATAAATAAAGGCCGAAATCGAAACTGTATTTCGATTAATTGCACAGCCCTAATGATAATTATGGTTATTGTTTGATCATACAGACCTATATATATATATATATCCAAATGAATGAATGCCAAGTCAAATCAAATCAAGAGCTTGTGAATCGCATTGAATTTTAAAATGTGTGCCAATTCCCAGCCCCACTAGCGAATCATCATGTTGTGTCATCATCAGTGCTATTCTGTTGACAACAGCACCCAGAGCAGACTGTTATCTGCTTCCCAGAAAGTGAACATGGGTTTGGGGGGAATAAAAGATGACGACACCGTTAGTTTGTATTGAGAGAGTTTCACTCTGAATGGATCTGCGCAGAACATATGTTTAAGAAGCCTGAGTGGCACTGCCAGCGGGAAGGAAGCTCATTCTGAGGACCTGCTGTGCCCTGCATGCTTAAACGGAGCCCTAACAGGGCCAAGAGCCAGACAAACAGGCCAGGGCTGATCCTGGGTCAGTTCTCAGCATTACAAAGCATCCTCTTTTTCCTGCTCTGGAACCTTCCATCTCCCATAGAGATGCATGCATTAGGCCCCTTCATACATATTCATGTTAATGAAGTAATCGTTTGTCATCAACCTCTTCCTGCCGTGTTAATGTTCACAACCCTCTCAAAACTCAAGACAAACAAACCACTCAACTCATGTGCTTCCTAACTGGGTAGTTCTCATCAAGAAGATTGAGAAACAAATATAAAAGTTACAGAAAACCCACCTTGACTGACCACTAGACTGATCTGAATCCTTTCCTCTTCCCTGATTCACATTGATTTTGTCAGCAACGATGGCAATTTCAATCTCTCACGTTTTAGAATAGACTGACCTTGAAGCCTGTCTCAATGTTGAGCCTGATGCAGGAGTTTTTGAAGGATGACGGTCATATTTCAGCTCTCAGAAGCAGAAGAGTGCTTACACTGCTGGAGTCTGATGGTGTGTGATGACGAGCATTTCCGCCCTCAGAAATCCTTGTTTACTTCTGTACCACCTCATTTTATTCCCCCCCATAATGAAGATTTCATTCTTTTCCACTTTATATGCACTTCTTTACAGTTCCATGTCTCACTATTTTTCATATACCAAGTATTGCGTCTATATTTTCCACTTAATTCTTGTTTGTGTGCAAAAATATTCTTGACTGTGCTTTTTCTGTTACAATTTGACCTACCTACTTTTCTATTTTCATCTTGAAAGATACGAGAACATAATTTATTTTGTGCGTGTGTGTATGCATGACATCCAGAAGATAAAATGGACATTATAGCCACACATTAATATTTTTAATTCATTCCCTCATATAAACATTTTTTGATGATAAATTTTATTTGTAATATAAATACGTTTTTTTCCTACTTAGTTATAGAAAAGTGCAGAGCCCTATGCATGACATGAAGGAAAAAAATATACATATGTATACATATACATACATTTATACATATACATACAGTATATATACATGTGTGTGTATATCTATCTATCTATCTAGTGGCCACAAATTAAGAATCTAGTGGCCATTAAACTTAATTTGTGACCACATTTACTAATTTGTTACCTCATTTTAAGTTAGTTAAATCATGGCCAGTATAGGGTTGTTTATCTAAATTAATAAGTTGTGGGAGTTAATTGTTAATTCATGGCCACTGTATCTTGTTTTTTCCCCCTGCATGTTATGCGTGTGAAGCTCTGTGATCTTTTATCTGGAGTGTTTGGTGTTGTTAAAGATTGACTGATAATTAACAAAGTGTTGTTGCATTGTCAAACTTATTTCAATTAATAAGACTTATTACCAAACAATCAATGCTGTTTACGCACACTGAATGAAGATTCAAAATAAAAGTTCTGGCAAAAATATTTTTATATTAAAGTATACAGTATTTTATATGATAATCTTCATGTAGTGTGCAAACAGCATTGTTTGTTTTGTTAAAATGAACATTAACCACTCTTTCCAATTCATTTGGAAGAAAGTGCAGAGCAGTAGGTGCTACACCCAGACAGAAACAGCCCATAATTTGGCAGCTTATCGGTTTATGAATAATATTATCTTTTCTGCTTCATCCATATTACTTCATCGTGCCAAAAAGTTGTGAAAGCTCAAGCCCTTTTTAATGCATAGTCTTTTGACTTCTGAAAGTCACAGTAGGTGTACATCAAGCTCTGTTATTTCAAAAGATCAAAGAATATTTGATTTCTCATTATAAGACCCCATCAAGGCCACTGATGAGTCATCTGAGTTTCAGAAGCACAAAGGCTCCATCAGACTTCCACTGTGGACTGATACAGACAGGCCTTTGTGCGCTCCGTGACTCTGCATTTCTCGCCATATCATCCCCCAGAGTCTCAGCGCTGCTGCTTCTGAGAAAGATGAGAAACTAGGCCATGACTTGCTGTCAGCCTCTCCTCAGGTTAAACAGCTCTGAACTGCCACATTGAGAAAAAGTGGGCACATGCTGCCATGGAAACCCGAAAGAGTATGGGAGCATCTTGCAGCCAGGGTTTTGTGTGTGCGCACTTGTGCTTTTGTTGGCTTGTGCGCATATGTCAGGGAGAAGAAAGAGCGCTTTGAAGTTTGTGCTTTCCAAACAGCAGTGTAAAACCTATTATCGGTTCCTGCCGCTCCCTGTGGATTAGTTGTACTTCCATAACCGATTGATTTTAATGAGAGCTTTGGTTCTTTTTATAGAGCCCAGTCACCAGGTGTAGTGCTGTTTGAAAAGTCACATTAATAAAACATCTCATTATCTGAAGAGCTGGAGGGCAGCGGCCTCAGAGTTCGAAAACTGGCCTCATTTTTGCCAAATTTGCCACTGTACTGTTTTTCTTGTGTGTAGACAAACAAGCAAAACAAGAAACGTCAACATTCACATTTTCACTCATGTATCTTCTGATATTCTTTGTCAATAGAGAAAGACATTCGGAGCATGTGAGCGTTCAGGCTCATTGGAAAAACTTCAAAAACGTACATGTACATACAATTCACCGCAGTTTCTAGCTGAAATGAACACGAGTGGCAGTAAAACACCACAAACTTTTATTCCTTTTCACTCAAATTATAATTAAAGTGGCAGATTATTGATTAATAAAGACTTATTTTCACATAGTTCCTTGCGCAATACTATCCTATGAGCTCAAAACAGTTTTATTGTAGTGCATGATTTGTAAACGAATACATTTTGATATTTGTATCTCATAACCCACTTCATATGTTTGTCTTTTCTGACCCAGTAAACTTGCTCGGTAATGCACCCGGTACAACATTGCACTTGTGAAGTGAAGCGTTCTGGTACGAGTCCATTAAAACACGAGATAAAATCACATGGTTGATTCAGCGAATGTGTTTTTATCTCACATTTGCTTTTGTAATCACATGATCGGGTTAGCTTTTGGGGTCGGGTTAGGGTTCAAAATGTGATACCACATTAACCTTTTAGTGCTTTTCATTTCTGAACTGTCGTGATATGTACAACAACAACAAAAAAAGCCAGATTCACATTCATCTCTTAGATATAACAAAATTCATTTTTATCGCCACACACTGGACATTTGACTTTGAAAGTGTATCTTCGCTGAGTATCTGGTTTGACTCTGAAATGCATCGCATTATGGAAATGAAAATGGGTTCCCATTGTTATTTCATGTTGATTTTAAAGCTTTAGTTCAATCTGGCTCCATTTAAAAAGTCCACCATAAAATACACAAATAAAGTTTCCTATAAACTGTCTGTAATGCTTTTTGAGTGACCATGGGATTATGTGTAATCCTGGCCTACAGTTCATTTTACTGTAGTTACAGCTTAATCTGGATTTGACAAGCAGGCTCCTGATGCTTTTTGGGGAAGGACTGACCTGATTTTCTTTTTATATAATGCTCATGCAGTTCCCATCAGCCACCTGGCTGAGTGCATGATAAACAGAAACAAGGGGCAGTGTTGCCCTACCTATGTGTTGCTTACTGTACGTTTCTCTCTGGGCAGCTGGAGGCGAATGAATCCCTCAGGAGATGGGATGGTAAGAGTTCACAGGAGAATTTGGAAACCCAGTGGAGCGACTCCAGTAAGGTAGTCCCGTCTGCTAGTCCTGCCATAACCTCCATGGCAGCTGCAGCGTAGTGTGTAGTGTGCTCTGTTTGGCTCGTCTCCACACCCCTTACTGTTTTTGTATCGATAGTGAAAAGTTTATTCATAGTCCACAAACTGCTGCCTGCAACCACATACTAACATTTAATCAACATGTAGGCCAACTCATGGGAGTGAGTTCCAAATAAATAGCTTACAAATATAGTCAATATCCCTGGTGATGTTTGAGTTAAACTGTAGTTTTGGTTGTAGTCAGCATCTGTGTGGTTGATGTTATTGCTTGCAGTTTCACTTGCAATTTTCAGTGTGGTCCAAATAATGTTCCCGGTTATTTTCAACTACCAACTTCTCAAAATAGCAACTTTATTTGAAGCTTCAGTCTCTATTCATTGTATTGGGGGAAAGAAAGGCCAGTGAATAATAACCTGGAATATTTATTTAAGTTTATATATTGTTTTTAATGCCACTAAATCATGTGTGTTGTGTGTCAGTGTTTTTCCCCCACTCAAATTCTGTACTTTCTGTCATGATTTATATTGGTAAAAGCTCAATTGAATGTTCAAAATGTAGACTCAAAAATCATATATTTTGTTTGCTGCTGTTTTCTCTCTGATCATCAGTTCATTAATGTTTTTGAAAGAAGTCTCTTCTGCTCAGCAAGGCTGCATTTATTTGATCAAAAATACAGTAAAAACAGTCAAATATAATTACAACTTAAAATATTATTACAATTTAGCTGTTTTCTGTCAATATATTGTAAACTGTAATTTATTTCTGTGATCAAAGCTGTATTTTCAGCATCATTACTGCAGTCTTCAGTGTCACATGATCTTCAGAATCTATTCTAATATGCTGATTTGCTGATTATTATCAATGCTGAAAACAGTTGTGCTGTTGAATGTTTTTGTGGAAACGATCACACATTTTATTTTTCAGGATTCACAGATGAACAAAGTTTAAAAGAACAGCATTAATTTAAAATATAATTTTTAGTTTTTAACATTATACATGTCTTTACTGACACTCCTGAACAATTTAATGCATCCTTGATGAGAATAAAACTGTTAGTCCAAACTTCAGGTATATAAGTGAAAATTGCTTATCTCTGCTATATAGTATGATACGTGTTAATTTAATTACTTAAAGCCAGTTAACAATCTTTCTAAATGAATCTGCATGCAGCATGTCTGTCCTCATCGCAGGACGAGAGCATGGTGTGCAGAGCATGAGGTGATGATATTGTGTTAGTCTTTATGATTAATGTGAACCTTGCCCAGTCTCATTTAGCACATAAGTGCGATCGATGGCTGTTTATTCATATATACTTGATATGACTCAGTGCTTATGCTGCTGGTAATGGTTGATGGGTTTGTTTTCAGGATGAACTTTCTGATGCCGGTAGGGGAGAGTCCAAATCCGGCACGCCCATGTCTGCAGCGACGTCAGCTGTAGCGATGGACACGCCGCGGACGGAGGAAGCCGAGGGTTTGAACAGGAACCTGGACTCAAGCAGCGCTAAACCCGACAGCAGTAAGAACATCGGCGTACAGGATGCTGTGGCATCTTCAGGTGACTCCTAATGTCACAGTCACAGTAGACAATCCAAATGCAATGTGTCTTCCTCCCGTTAATGCTCTGCTTGCGCTGCTTTGCTCAGGGTTTCCATTTTAAGCCTTGAAATTTAGTTTAAATTAAATTTAAGGCAATAAAAAGCAAAACAATCTTGAGATGCATGATTTATTTAATTATATGATTTATCACAGTTTTTGTGTTTATTCTCCATAAATGGTGCTGTGTGTGGCTCACTTAAATTGATGTCAGCTCCCCTTTTGAAACAAACTGCATTTATTTGATGTACATGTGTTCAAACTATGATCACACTGTCTGCACCAAAGCCTCTAGTGTGAAAGTTAAATAATGTATTATACAGATGAATTTTAACACGTTAGACCATTTGAAACACACCTAACTGATAACGTTTTTGTGCTCAGGAGCCGATCAAAGTGAGAATGCAGAGCGATCAGAGGTCCAGGCGATCATTGAGTCCACACCAGAGCTGGACATGGATCTGAGTGGATGCAAAGGCTCCAGGTACGTCCACACTGATTCGATCATTCATTCACAGTGCTTTCCTTATCACACCGACCCAACAGCTTATGTTTTCTGCTCTCAGAGGATCTTCATTCTATACGCACTTTCAGCAACCATCTGGACATTGTTAGGCGACGCGGCTTTCTCTGTCTTATGTCTGGTCTTCATCTTGTTTTGTTTCTAGCACTCCCACTAAAGGCATCGAGAACATGGCCTTTGACCGTAACACTGACTCTCTCTTTGAGGAGCTCTCGTCAGCAGGAACCGATCTCATAGGAGACGTGGATGAAGGCGCTGATCTGCTGGGTAAGTTCTCAGTCAACCAGAGCTCAGATCAGCATGCTTTCTGCCTTAAACTGAAGGAACAGTTCAACCAACAAATGAACATTTACTCATAAAACCTGTGTGAATTCCTTTCTTTCTTAAATGATGGATTTTTGAAGAATATCCTGGCCACTCATCAATGTAATGAAAGTGAATGATATCTGAGGCTTTCATGCTCGATAAAAGTATCATATAAGTCAGTGACTACGTTCCAAGTCCACTGAAGCCATACAGTAGCTTTGAAACGGACTGAGTTTAAAGTTTTTATTTTAATTTAATTTTTTATATAGTTTCCTTGCATCTTCACAAGACTGACATCTGATTTATGAATGAACTGTTCTCTTGAACCGGATCTTATTGATTAAAATAGTTCTTCCATTTCACAGAGCTGGTCTGAATGATTGGTTTAAGAATCAAACTGATCCACTTCTCAAGATCCGTGGAGGGGAAAACTATCAGTGAACAGCGATTTAGATTTGTTATCATATCATGACTTCAAAAATACTGTATTGGTGCTTTTGTTGTCTGACATTTGAAAGCACATGATTCAAAGAAGGTTATTATAGTTAACTAAAAATATATATTAAAAAAAATCAATACTTGAAGTGATAAAACTTAAAATATAAAAATTGATTAATTTTATCATTTTCATTTAGTTTAACTTGATATATTAAAACAAACTATATAGGCATATTTAAAAAAGAAAAACAAATAAATTGACAAAAAAAACAATACAAATTGCTAAAACATTGCTAAAGCAAAATATTAATAAACTAAATAGGCATATATAAACAAACTAATAAAAATGACAAAAACACTAAACATTTTTATATAAATTTACAATTTAAATAAAAAAAAATTAATATTATTAAAGAGCTAATATTAAAGAAAATATAATATATAAGAAAATTATTAAAAAGCTAATTCAAAATATTAATAAAAACTATACAGGCATATTAAACACAAACTAACATTTTAATTAAAATTTTATAGAAAATATAAAAATAAAATCGAATGCAAAATATTAACAAAAACTGTAATAGTATTACTAAAATAACACCGACTCAAAGTGTCAACTTTTGAGTTCTATGGAAGTCCAAACTGCATGTTTGTTGTGTCTTTTTCCTTCATGTCATTCTCCTCTAATAGTGGAGACATCAGTCATTAGTTACTTTTATTCTTCTTCTTATCTAAGCCCATCATTCCTCACTGACGTTCACAGCCCATCTAATCATGTTGTTTTTCCTCCATGTTTGAGGCTTTTCTTTCCCCCAGACGAGTTCTCTGGTGTGTATGTTTACACTCCTCTTTATTTTGTCCTCTCATTTTCGTACATTGTATCCTCACCAGGTGCGACACGACAGGTTTCTAGCAACAAGTAACTTGTCTGTCCACACTAAAGCAAAAAAAAGACTACAACATTAGAAAACAAGCCACCAAAAATGCTTGTTTCCACTGGTTAAGACAAATTCATTGTTGCTTTTTTGTATTGCATCTGATTAAGATACAGTGTTAAAACAGTTTTTATTTGTAGATCCTTAGTAATTTAGTGTCACTCTTATTTATTTTGCTCATTGACTGACCCTTTCCTTGTTTTTTGGTTTGCATGCCAATTTCAGACCTTAATTTATTTGGTAAGCATGATTTCTTGATCATTTCTATTCTCCAGAAAAGTGTTCTCTGTCACATAAATGGTCAAATCGGCATTCGTGGGGTTTTCAGAGATCTGTGCTCGAGTATTTTTTGTCACATGGAATCTGCTTTGTATTGCTGTCATGTAGGTATGGGTCGTGAAGTCGAACACCTGATCCATGAGAACACACAGCTACTGGAGACAAAGTAAGTCATAATATGGCATTAGTATGTGGCCTGTGTCAGCTGGAAAACGCCAAGCTGTTTGCATTTAGTCCATATTTACTCCATATGCAATGGTTCTACTGCCATCTGCTGTTTTAAAGGAGTTACAGCAATGCTTGAAAGAAAATCATATCAACTGGACTGATCTTGTTTTGCTAGTCTTATTAAATTCAAATGCCATTTATTACCACCTAATGCTAGTATGAAATCAGTATGAAGAATATAAAGTACATAATTCTTGGTGCAGTTCATGTCTGATGTGACAAAGTAATAATGGCGTTTCAGTCAATTAAAGACATTTTCACTGATAACTTATTAGTTGGGGACTGGATTGTGAGTCTTTGAATGATTCATTGAAAAGAATTGGTTCATAAAGAGTAAATCGCCTGTGAATCAGACATTACTGGACCTGCTGTATGCGTGTTGTCTGTCTTATACAATCAAGGAGGATCAAGCAATAGAAATACATATTTAATGTCTATGTAAGGAGTTTTTCTTTTACAACACATTCAAATCAGAAAGCAAACTAATAACCTATATTGTAGATTTAGTTGTGTCTACACAAATTATTAAAAACACACAGATTTCTGTTTCTTGAAGCTGCATTGCTGTGTTTGCTGCAGGAACGCTCTGAATGTGGTGAAGAACGATCTGATCGCTCATGTGGATGAGCTGGTGTGTGAAAAAGATGTTCTTCAGGGGGAGCTGGAGGTCCTGAGACAGTCCAAAGACAAACTGGAGGAGAAGAACAGAGAGCTGGAGGAGGAGCTCAAAAAGTTTGTCATTAGACACAGAGACATATATCAGCAATCCAGACAGATACTTTTAGTTTTTTTTTTGAGTGAAGCTTGTGTTTTTGTCCAAACAGAGTCCGAGCTGAGCTGGAGGAAGCCAAAGTGAAGACGAAAGAGGACGATGATGTAAGCAAGAGTTTGGATGCCGTGTGTATTAGGATTGCAGAGCATTAGACTCTTCACCGTTCCATTAGATTTCAGTTCAGGAAGTCAAGATGTAATGCCAAAACGATTCTTGATTCAAATTATTTTTGAATTAGTGTTGTCGCGATACTAACATTTCTAACTTCAATACAATATTTTTGAATATATCTGTATTAAGTACCATTTTAGATGCCACGGTGACAAATTGCCACAAAATTAAGGGCAAAACATTTCAACAGTATAAGATCTGAGATAGGGATATAATAACAACAGCAGCAACAACAATAATAATAATAATAATAATTCTAAAACAGAAATATATTACTATTGCAATACAACTGCACTGTAAAATAAAAAAATGAGTATTTCATAAATATATATAAATTTGTTATTTGTGTAAAGTTCGAGACTTATGACTTAATGTCACTTGAAAGAGTTAAACCCTCAAAGTTTTTCTTATCAACTGAAACTGCTGTATGATATTTAATAATAATAATAATATTTCTAAGACTGCAATATATTACTATTGTAATACAACTGCACTGTAAAATTTAAATAATTATATATGTATGAAATATTTTTTTTCTTAAAACTAGTAAATTTACAGTAATTATGACTTAATTTCTTCACTTGAAAAAGTTAAACCCTCAAGCTTTGGTATTTTCAAATCTACTGAGATTGGGACTCTGATGATGATGATGATGATAATTGTTAAACATATTAGTATTATGATACAACTGCATGGCAAAATAGAAAAATGCATATTTTATAAAAAGTATATAATTTTTACTTTACTGTAGTAAAATTACAGTACTTATGACTTAATTTCTTCACTTGCAAGAATGAAACCCTCAAACTTTATTTTCTTATCAATTAAAATTACTGAGATTTAATAATAATAATTCTAAGACCGAAATATATTGCTATTTTAATACAACTGCATTGTAAAATAAAAAAATACTTTTTATAATAATTATATAAATTTTTACTGTAGCAAAATTACTATATGCATGACTTTCAAGAGTTAAACCCTAAAGCTTTAGTATTTTCTTACCAACTGAAACTCTGCTGTCTGAGATACATATATACTATTGTAATGCAGCTGCGCTATAAAATATTTCACAAGTATATCAATTATTTTACTTCGCATTAGAAATAAGTGAAATGCTGCATAAAATTGGGGAAATTATGCAAATGTGAAATGCATCATAAGTGCACGTTGTGTTTCCAAATATATGTCATATGCAGAGCTGTATTGATGTATAAACAGTATTTTAGACAATACTATTTCAAAGGATCAGTTTTACGGTGTTGAACAATAAGAGGCCGTGTTTCTCTCAGAGCGACGTGCCGACGGCCCAGCGGAAGCGCTTCACGCGGGTGGAGATGGCCCGGGTCCTGATGGAGAGAAACCAGTATAAAGAGAGACTGATGGAGCTGCAGGAGGCCGTCAGGTGGACGGAGATGATACGGTCAGGTCACTGTAATCTCAGTGTTCAAACCGTCACAGCTCTGCCCTGCATCGACTCAACTGTGTGTTTCGTTCAATGCAGAGCTTCAAGAGAGAATCCAGCCTTGGCTGAGAAGAAAAGATCCAGTATCTGGCAGTTGTAAGCAGCCCTTTTTCGTTCTCCTCAAAGTTGTGTTCTATTAGTTTGTGCGGTTTGGCGTTCAAACTTTGTTTCCCCCTCTCATTTTATGTCCCTCTTTTATTTGTTTTCCTTCTAGGATGTAGGTAAATCTTAGAAATCCTAGTAAATCTTGCACTTGGTTTGATCCTTAGATCCAAAAATCTGTTCTTGGACATGGGAATGGGGTTTCTTTAAAGCTTTAACAGCAGTATAACAAAAGCATAACAGGAATTTACAGCCAGACCGTTACATTACATTAAACTTTACTAATGCTCAAGCGTTCATTACACTTGTTTTTAAAGGATTTGGCACATCTGTGTCAGTAAGCAGCCTGCGGGGGGCTTGTTTTTGTTGGTTTGAAATGCCATTCCCAGGTCATGCTGGTCTAGCTGGGGTTTTGCATTTGGGGGCATTTAAGGTTTTGCATCTATTTTAAACCCATTCATTCTCCTCTTGTGTGCTCCTGTGTTTTCTGTAACCCCATTCATGTTGTCCTGTGTGTTTGCAGAAGGTGTGTTGGGTGAGGGGACAGAGCTCTCCTAAACAGATACCAGATGTTTGTTTAGATCTTTGAATGTTTGTGGAAGGATGTGCATGGTTTGGTTTGATGAAGTGCAATAATAGAAGAGCTTTATTCACGAGTTTCAGGTCACATTTGGCTAACAGCTCCTTCTAAAAGCCTTTAGGATTAAGATGATTTAATTACACAAAAACAGACCAAAATATTACATCGTAGTTTTTATTTATTTATTTCAATGTTTTAGTTATTTATTCATATTTTCTGAAACGACTATACACTTACTATTTAAAAGTTTGGGGTTTGTAAGATTTTTAAAAGTCTCTTCTGCTCACCAAGGCTGCATTTATTTGATCAAAAATACAGTAAAAATGTGAAATATTATTACAATTTAAACTAACTTTTTTTTTTTATGTGAGCATTTGTTAAAATGTAATTTATTTCTGTGATCAAAGCTGAATTTTCAGCATCATTACTCCAGTCTTCAGTGTCACATGATCTTCAGAAATCAGTATAATATTCTGATTTGCCGCTCAAGAAACATTTCTGATTATCATCAATGTTGAAAACCGTTGTGCTGCCCGATATTTTTGTGGAAACCGTGATACATTTTATTTTTCAGGATTCTTTGAGTAGAAAGTTCATACCATTAGCATTTATTTGAAATAGAATCATTTGTAACATTATAAATGTCTTTGCTGTCACTTTTGATCAATTTAATGCATCACTGAGTAAAAGCATCCCAAACTTTTGAACAGCAGTGTATTGAATGGTGTAATACAGAAAGGAAGCGCCTCAGAGAAGGTTTGTTTGCAGTGATCAGGTGTTCAGCATGTGCTGTCGTGGTTAGATATCTGACGGTCGGGTCAGTGGTTTGTCGCAGGACTGTGTGAAGGGCTTGGCACATGTTTGGGACGTGACCCTACTATCCCATAACGGTTAACCTTTGACCTCTAACTGCTGCTGCGCTTGTGTCCGCATATGAGTCTCTGTGTCTGTGTGTCTCTCTCCCCACGTCCCTCAGTTTCAGCAGGCTCTTCAGCTCTTCATCCAGCACCACAGCGAAAAAACCCGATGCGCCGGTTAACATGAAGTACAACGCACCCACCTCACACGTCGTCCCTTCGGTGAAGAAGAGGAGCAGCACCCTCTCTCAGCTGCCTAGTGACAAATCCAAAGCCTTTGACTTCCTCAATGAGGAGTGAGTGACTTCCTGTCTGACCTCTCTTTTAGTGTCTGTTCGGTTCAAAGTATATGCTGTTCCACACAAACTCTTGTCTGTGCAACAGTGCATTACCAAATTTGTAATAAGAATCGTCCATAAATCTGTCCTCAACAAAAGAAAAGCTTTAAGGTCCCCTAGCAGTCTTCAACCAAAAATAAGTGCTCTGTAGTTTTACATTTGAAAGCAAAGTAATTAAGAGCCATAAATAGTAGTATTGTAATTTTATTGTTGTTCTGTAAAATGAAATGGTTATATAAAATTATTAAAATAGTTTTTGATGTTGTTAATAATAACAATAATAATGTTAATAATTTTATTTTACAATACAATAGTATTTGTTGTTTTTATTTAGATTTTTTCTTATTGAAATAATTATAAGATACAATTGTTTTTCTGAATAATAAACAATAATTATTGTTACTGTTATTATAATATAAATTTATTTTAATATAATATATAAAATAGTAATAAACAATTTTTTATATATATATATATATATATAAAAAATCAAATGGTCTTAAGACTATTATTATCCAATAGTCTTTAGAGGAATAATAGGGTTCTCCTCTTTTTTTTTTCTTTTCTTTTTTTTTTTTTGTCCTTGAGCTGATCAATTTCTGTTGTTTGTTAACTTTCTGTGTGTTTGTCCATGTCCTGTAGGGCTGAGGTAGAGAGCGTAGTGTCGCGTAGAGAGCAGAAGAGAGCTCAGTACAGGCAGGTGAAGGCTCACGTGCAGAAAGAGGACAGCCGGATGCAGGCGTACGGATGGAGTTTACCTCCAAAATACAAGGTAACGTCTCTGACGCTGTGTAACAGAGACTTGTACCATGCATATTATGAGAAAGCAGAAATCACAATGAAAAGTTGCCCATTAATATATTGCAAAAAGTTTTTTTTATATACTGTATATATCTAATGGTTTGCTAAAAGTATTTTATTTATCATTATGCTGTTTTCAAAGGTTGCAAATGGTGGACAAGGAGACAAAAACCTGCCAGTGCCCGTCTACCTCCGACCGTTAGATGAGAAAGATGCTTCCATGAAGGTGAGGCTGTTCTCAGATTGAGTCCTGAGCTCAGTGAGTGTTGTAGTTTAATGGTGTTTGTTGTGTGTGTAGCTGTGGTGCGCTGCAGGAGTCAATCTCTCAGGTGGAAAAACACGAGACGGTGGCTCCATCGTGGGAGCGAGTGTGTTTTATAAAGATGTGTCTGGAGGAGAGAGCGGCCCCATCAGCCCCAGGAAGAAGAGAGGATCACGGAGCAGCCTGGAGCAACTGGAGCAGGAACTCAAGGTCAGGAGCCCCAAAAATCACGTACAAAATGTATATGTCATGATGAAGGAAATGCATGCAAAACCATTGTTTTTTTTTTTTCATGCACTGGTCAATTTTGAGATTTTGCTTCCATAACATGTCTTCCTTCAGACTAGTAGAAAAATACAAATTTAAGTGTTTTTTTTTTATTGCACCTCATCTATTTGCATTTGTAGATTTAAATTCCCATCCATATCTTTTTTTCTCCACTTTAGCATCACTTACATACACTAAACTTCAAAGATTTATCTGTATTATATATGCATATCTCAAGGGTTTTACAGAGGGGTTTGTTCATATATCGTTAAAAAAAACATGGTTCTGTTTCTGTCTGTTGACAGTATATTCTGATTTATGATAGTGATAAAGAGAGAAATCCAAAATTCCATCTGGGAAAAACCTATAATTCTAACATGTCAACAAAATCAAACAAGAATTTTGAATGTATCCAGTGTTCATATTTCTGTTCTGGAAATGTTTATGCTAGGGATGCACTGAAATGTACATTCTTGGCCGAAGCCGAACAAAATAAAACACTTGGCCAAAGGCTGAATACCTAACACGGTTTTTCGCGTTTTCCCCAATGTATTTTGCCAATTTTTTTCACCTTTGCATAAATTAAAGACAAAATGTGCTTTTTACTGTCAAAAAAAATCAATAACAGAACAACAATTTAATAATATTTACTTAATTAACTTTTTTTTACTTTATAGCAGACATTCCAACAAAGCACAATTTAACTTAAAATTAAGTTAGCAAAATAATATTTTTGGCCATTTTTGAGACCCCCTTCTTAAATCAGGCATGTATTTTTTTTTTACTGTACAAATAAATGCAGCCTTGCTTAGCAGAAGAGAATTCTTTTAAAATATTAGAACATATTACAGATCCCAATTTGAACACTGGATGTTAAAATAAATGTATTAATAGAGCTGTTGCAATTATTATCCTTATTATTGTCTTGCTTTTTTATTTTATTTTACCGAACAACAGTAAAATTACAATACTTAAATGTTTAACATATTTAATTAGATAATACTTTATATGCAAAACTATTTTCATAATATAAATTAAGCAAATGAATGCATATTTAATTCATATTTTTTCCAATGTTTACATTTCTGTTCTAGAAATGTATATGCAAACATTAAAAAAAAAAAAAAATCCCCTGTATAAAAAATTTGTAAACAGAATAAAACAAGAATTTAGAATTTATCCGATGCTTACATTTCTTTTCTGGAAATATATATGCAAATATGCCAATACAAAAAATTTAAGAACAGAAATCTGAACATTGGGAAAATAGTCATGTTACGCTTCATTTGCATATTTCAACATAACATTTCAGAAAACTTGTAATACAAATCAGCTGTCTTAATGTACTGTGATTTAATCAGATGGGGAAGTATGGTGATGTCTAACGTGTACTCTGTTCACCTGTGGTGTCTTGCCGTAAAGTCTTTAATGTTGTGTTATTGTGTGTGTGATCAGGAGCAGGAGAAGGAGCTGCGGCATCAGGATGAGCTCTCCAGCCTGGTGTGGATCTGCACCACTACACACTCCACCTCTAAAGTCATAGTCATCGACGCCAACCAGCCCGGAAACATCCTGGAGACCTTCTTCGTCTGCAACTCTCACGTGCTGTGCATCGCCAGCGTACCTGGTCAGACAATGCAATGAGACCTTATTTATAACCTTCACAAGTGCTTTTGGTTTGAGCCAGTTCTCTGTGTGTGTTTGTCAGGCGCTCATGAGACGGACTATCCCGCAGGAGAGGAGCTGAGCACAGACGGTGAGGCTTCTAAAGTCAGCTGTACGGCAGCAAACAGCTCCACGGGTTTTGACGGAGGTCTGGAAGGCATCACTGTCATGGGCTGCTCTGCAGAAGGACCTGTGGCGATCCCTCAAACTGTCTGTACCAACTCCATAGAGTCCTCAGACACTGGTAACACAGCATCTGTCACAATAACACTTAACGGGCAAAAAATATCATTAATGCATGTTTTATTTACTCCATTTTTCTGCATAGAAACTTTCCCTTTAACATAATGAAACACTGTTTTATGGCAAATACAACATGGATTTTTTTTTTTAAATATGCATTTTCCTCATTTTAATTCCATTTAATCAGTTAGATGTCTCGTAAGTAAGTAAAAGTTGCTCTCAAGCTGTAGTGCTGTAGGTTAAGTCAGTTCATTTGCTTCACAAATTGGTCTGAATGATTCATTAGCGAATTAAGCAAAATCAAAATGATTTGTAAAAACCTTTTCCATTAATTACAAACAATTGGAAAGGTCATGGTAATGCACTGATTAAGGATGGAGATGTATTGAGTGTACTCTGTTGCAGTGTATACGTGCACTCATCTGTGGCGCAGTGGAGGAAGTGTCTTCACTCCATCAAGTTAAAGGATTCCGTCCTGGGGATTGTGTAAGGAAACTCTCATCATCTGGAGACATTTACATAAATAAACTACAGCGCTTTCTTCAGCAGCAGCTGCTCATTACTCTTTCTTTTCTTCTGTGAAGTCATGTGAAAGGACGTGTTCTGGTAGCTTTGGCTGATGGCACGCTTGCAATCTTCCACAGAGGTGTTGGTAAGACTTATTTCTAAAAACGAATGTAGTACCTTAAAGATGTTCATTACATTCACCCATACTACATATATAATGCACACCACACCAGACCAGAATAATGCTCTTTTAATGAAGGATATTCGTGTTACAGATGGCCAGTGGGATTTGACCAACTACCACCTGTTAGATCTGGGCCGTCCGCATCACTCCATCCGCTGTATGACTGTAGTGCATGACAAGGTCTGGTGTGGATACAGGAACAAGATCTTTGTGGTGCAACCCAAAGCCATGAAGATCGAGGTATGACTTTTCTGTGACATTTTGTGAGGTAACACGCATGCATCTAACACATATCTCAGATACACTATTGTTCAAAATAGTTATATATATATTTTATTTAATTAAAAAAAAATATATAATGAAGTATTTAATACTTATTTGTTGTTTTTCTATATGGACTCAATCTCCAAATGAATTCAATTAATATTAAAAGTTGAATAGTGAAAGTAATATTAAAAATGAAAAAAAAATAAAATAAATCTTACCAACCCAAACCTTTTCAGCAGCGGTCCATGTTTAGCATTATTATTGAAACATTTTATTTTTCAAGATGCTGTTGAATTTTTCAGTTTACATTTATTTTTTTTTATAAAAAATTTTTTGGTCAAGTTATTACTTAAACATTTATTTTCATTAAATGACGTGATATGCTGCTTCTCTTCAGATTCTAATCAGATTCCTGCTCATGATTCCCCCTCACATGTAATAAAATCAGTGTAACTCAATTCTTTATTGGTTTACTGTGCTGTTCCTCATGTGCAGAAATCGTTCGACGCTCATCCTCGTAAGGAGAGTCAGGTGAGGCAGCTGGCTTGGGATGGAGATGGTATCTGGGTGTCCATTCGTCTGGACTCGACCCTCAGACTCTTCCATGCACACACATACCAGCACCTGCAGGATGTTGACATCGAGCCGTACGTCAGCAAGATGCTGGGTGAGTGCTACTTTATCAAAGCATTCGAGAGTCCTGCAGTGCCGTTCTGATGACTGATGCTGTGTGTGTCACAGGCACCGGTAAGCTGGGCTTCTCTTTCGTGAGGATCACCGCTCTGATGGTCTCCTGCAACCGCCTGTGGGTAGGAACCGGAAACGGTGTCATCATCTCCATCCCTCTGTCAGAGAGTGCGTCAGCCGTGTGCTTCCAATCATGTCATTGGTGGTAATGTAACTCTGTGTCATGAGAGTAATGTCATTTTTTTATTCCCACAACAGAAAGTAAAGAAGCAGCGGCGGCGGGGTCAAATCGTCCAGGCGGTGCGATCCGTGTCTACGGTGATGAGAGCGGAGATAAAGTCACGACGGGCACGTTTGTGCCCTTCTGCTCCATGGCTCATGCCCAGCTGTGCTTCCACGGACACAGAGACGCCGTCAAGTTCTTCACCGCAGTCCCAGGTACAACAGTTGATCATGAGTACAGAACTATGAACTATGTTTTATTTTTTTACCAAGTTCAGTTTTTCCAGGTGTTATTTTTATGCTTTATTTTTTAAACCGCTTTTTAAAATTTAGTATACCAAAAAACTAATTTGAGTTAACAAACACCTAGTACAATAGAGAGGAATAATTAAAAAGCTAGACGGTGTCCGTTTAGGATTCCGTTTGGTTTTAATGGTTAAATTACATTTCTAAATTACAACTAAAAAGCATGTTTAATTAATGGAAATTATGAAACATACAGTTTAACAGCCATTTTAACAAGTTTAACAAAAATTTAACTTTTAGGGCCCTATGGGCCAGATTTACTAACAGCTTGTGCCAACGCAAACCGTCTTTTGGCGTTAAAATAGTACTGTCAGGATTTACTAAAGACGTGCAGTGAAGAATTAGCGCTGAAAAGGCGTGGACAGTTATTTTTGTGCCTGACCTTATTGAATATGCATTTGTAGGAGTTTCCCTTTCAGACGAAAAATTTATGGGAGGAGAGTATTAAAATGAATCGACTGCAAACATTTGTGCTCGTCCTAATTACTTGTATTGCGCCATTATTTAACACCCAAAAAAGCATGTCTTAAAGCAGGCGGTAATTTGCACTGCTCTTGGTAGATTGCGCTGGTCATTATGGAAATTATCTGGCTGCGTCTGTGTTCTTTAATGTGTGCATTGTCAGTAAATCACACACAGAATTTTCCCCTCCCATCGGCACTTTTATGGAATGGTGCTCTAACGCTAATTTGCCCCGTTTAGTAAATCTGGCCCTAAGAATTTGTTTTATTTTTTTAGGTTTAATATTTTTTCCCAGTTTTATTATTATTTATTTATTTATTGGATTCTGTTTTACCTGTTAAATTACATTTTTAATAATCAAAAATGTCAAATTAATTGTATTCATAAAACTTTAACAATTGAATAATTTATTAATTCATTAGATTTAGTACTTGTGGGAATAAAATTTAAATAAATATAGAAAAATAAATGAAAGAATAAAAATACAGTTAAAAATAAAGAAAATAATGAATAAAGTGAGAAAGTAATACAAAAATTAATTTGGGACTAAATTTAATTAAAAATGAATTTTATTTGTCATTTATTCCTTTATTTTTCTATTATTACACGTACATATGTATGTACACTACCGTTCAAAAGTGTGGGATCAGTAAGATTTAATGTTTTTAAAGAAGTTTATTCTGCTCATCAAGGCTGCATTTATAAAAAAAAAAAAGTAAAACTGAGAATCGTGACCCCCATTAAACACCCATGATGTTTTTCCATTTTGCAGGGCAGGTGATTCCATCTGCAGGGTCAGGGGTCGAGGCGGGCGCTGACAAGTCCTCCGACTCGCCAGAGCTGGTGAAGTCGGTGCTGGTCGTGAGCGGAGGAGAGGGTTACATCGACTTCAGGATGGGTGAGTCAGACGCCTCCCGGTGCTGCGGTCCCGTTTGAAACGCCTGATCACTCACACACTCCTCTCTTCCTATCACAGGAGATGAAGGGGGAGACACAGAAAACATCAGCGAACCCACTCTGAACCTGCAGCCCTTCCTGGCCAAAGCCGAGCGCAGTCACCTCATTGTGTGGCAGGTCATGACCGGCGAGGAGTGACGTCGCTCCAGACGCACTTTGTTTGGACCTCTTTTTCACTCCCTTCTGCTTTATTGAAGACCTTTCAAGCACTGGCTTATAGAATTTCTATCATGCAAATCACGATTATCGACGAAGAATGAAGTATTCATACTGTTTGTGCTTTCGCTAAGTTTTCCGAAGACCTTCGCACATCATCTTTGGCAATACAACGGTTCCTTCACGCAGATAGGATGTCAAATAATGGGCGATTCAGTCCAGGTTTTTGGGCGAGAGCACAACGGGCCAAATGTACAAAGTTTGTCCCTTACTGAGAAGTAAAATAAAATTAAATAAACATTTTTCAAAATGCAAATTTTCATATTAAATTGTTTGTTCGTTGAATCTGATGGCCCATAACACACTGCACAACACCCACAAATGTATTTGGGTGCTTAAAAATTTTAGTAGTAATTACTGTACATTTTTACATTGTACATGTACAATTTTTTCTCCAGAAATGAATCCAAAGCAGTTTTGAATCTGTTTTGGGTGAGTCAGTTTATTGAATTATTCAAATTGTTTGTTCATCAAGTGTAACAAATGTAACCTTCAAAAGATCAGCACCTCTAATGACAGTCTGGCTGGAACACAGACAAAACGATTGATGCAAACAATGAAGAAATTTGTTCCAAATGATAAAACAACAGATATATTGTTTAAAATGAAAAACGTCCTGGTTGTCAAACGTTGGTGGATCATATTGATAGTGAATCTGAATCTCTGCACGTTTGGTTCCTCTGCTGGACAGCTTTGAGGAGAACTGACTTTATCTACCTTATTTTAAACATTTGTAACGTCAGTGTGTGAGACTCCCATTCACTTCCAGTTATTTTTAGCAGTACAGAATAGCTCCTTACACTGCTTGATATTGCAAACGGCTATTTCTTATGTTATTTTAATGTATTATTGTAGTCATAAACACTGGTTTGTAGTGCAAATAGTTTTACCGTTAACTGCACTTTGTTATTCTTCTAGTTATTTACCTACAGCAGCTAATGAAGCAGAAGTCTCGCACATTCACAGAAAACAGCTTACTTCTGTAGAGAAATGAGGTGAATGCATGCACTAAAATCACACTGACAGCTGTTGATTAAGTCATTGCAAATGGCTCAGAAAACTGACATAATTCTGAAAAAGTTTTTTTTTGTTGTTACAGTGTAATTATACATTCAAGTATTGAGTAATATTAATTAACTACATATGGTTAGGTTTAGGATGAGGGTTTGGTTTTGGGTTAGTTGCATGTAATTATGCATAATTTATTATTACTATAGTAAGTACATGTAACGTGTAACAAGGACACTATAAAAATAAAGCATTATGTTTTTGCAGGTGCCTCTTGGTTTTGAGGTTTTGTTATATGATGCAATGAACATGCAGACATTTCAAAAGTGTGACTTAAGGCAAGACAGCAGAGGTGAATAGAGTAGAAATTATTTTAAAAATTATGTATGTCATGAAATGCTGTTCAAAAGAGGCGTTATCTAATTAAATGTGCACTAATTTGCATATGAAGAGTTTATTTGCAAAAACCGATAACTCCGTTTTTAAAATTTTTCAAAAATCATGTTTTTTTTTATCCTGCATTTCAATTAATATCAATTAAACTGTAGTTGGGTTGTTTTGATTAAATAGTAATAACTAAAAAATACCCACAATAAAAACATGATTTATGAGAATTAATAAAAAGAGTTATCTGTCTTTGCAAATAAAGTTTTATGCAGAAATCAAAACATTGAATAGAACCAGATTCAGAATTCTTGTCTGATTTTGTTGACTTTAGATGGGAATTGGATTTCTTTTTTTTTATCACTTAATGAATCAAAAACATTTTCACCATGTTTCAGAAATAAAATATAATAAAAACCAATAATATATGAATATTAGAATAGAATATAGACGGGGATAAAACTGTATGAAGTTTAGTGTATGAAAGTAAACAAACAAACTCACCATTTAAAGATATGAATTGATGTTGAAATCTGCAAATGCAAATAGACAAAGTGCAATAAAATAAACAATAATAATAAATATGATTTGTAATGTGCCTTTCTTACACTCAAGGCACTACAACAGTATAAAACAACAATAAAAGAAACAACACTACTCCATAATAACAATCACAATGACAACAACAACTGTAAGATTATAACTTAAAAGCTTCGCTAAAGAGATATGTTTTGAGTAATTTCTTAAAACAATCAAAAGATGGAGCATTCCTAATAGGAAAAGGCAGAGAATTCCACACAACCTGGGAGCAATACAAGAGAATGACCTCCCACCCATAGTTTTGAGTTTACAACAAGGCTGGTACAGAGTAAGAGAACCAGCAGAGCGGAGAGACCGAGATGTTGTAGACACTGTGACCAAATTACAAGTATACTCTGGGGCCAGCCCATGTACTGCTTTATAGGTTAAGATAAGAACTTTAAAATCAATACGTGATACGTTGAGAATGCACAGGAGTTATATGACTGCGGGATGGTGTGTAAGTTAACACGAGCAGCTGAATTTTGCACATATTGCAGCCTCTTAATCATATTTGCAGGTAACCCTGCAAAAAGAGAATTACAATAATCAAGACTGGATGTTATAAAGGCGTGAATAAGCCTTTCTGCTTCAGGCATAGAGAGAAACGGTCTTATACGTGCAATATTCCGAAGATGATATAAAGCTACTTTAGTAACATTCATAAATGAGTGTTAAAAGTCAGCTGTGCATCAAAAATCACACCCAAATTCCGCACCTGTACAGAAGGAAGAATCTGGCACTCATCCACTGCAAGTTTAAAATGATTACATCTATTTACAGCAGTTGGAGTGCCAATCAGAAGAACTTCAGTTTTTGAACAGTTTAACTGTAGGAAGTTCTGTTTCATCCAGACCTGTATTTCCAGTAAACAAGCAGATAAAGTTGAAAGTGCTGATGTAACACCAGGTTGAGTACTAATGTAAATCTTGGTATCATCTGCATAGCAATGATAACCCAGACCATACTTTTGAATAATCTGCCCAAGAGGCAACCTATAAATGCTGAAAAGAGTAGGACCCAATACCGACCCCTGAGGGACGCCCTGCCGCAATGGAACAATCTGAGATCTGTTTGTACCAGAATAAACAAATTGAGTGCGTTCTGAAAGATATGATTCAAACCATTTTAAAGCTATACCAGAAAGACCAATCCACTTATGTAATCTGTCCAGTAGTAGAGTGTGGCAAATGGTATCGAATGCAGCACTGAAATCTAACAAAACAAAATGCCACAAGCCCCAGAATCTGCTGCAACAAGGAGATCATTCATTACCCTCAAAAGGGCAGTCTCCGTACTGTGTCCAGACCTAAACCCTGATTGAAAAGGTTCTAGTAGTCTGCTCGCAGAGAAATGATTTTGTAGCTGACCAACTACCACGTGCTCAAGAACCTTAGCAACGAATGGCAAGTTTGAGATAGGCCTATAATTAGACATGTCAGCAGTATCACTCCCAAATTTTTTAAGAACTGGTTTGACTGCTGCTACTTTTAAGTGCTGGGGGAACAATCCCTGAACAAGTGAAGTGTTCACAATCACTTTAATATGAGGAATAATAACTGGCAGACACTAAATGCGTATTTTGAACGCTTGCTTTCCACTAGTCTTAAAGAAGACGTGATATGGAAGCAAAACAGACAAATCTGGATGAAAAACAATGATTTTGCCTGTAGTGTCTTGCTTTGAATATCCAAATCCATTTCAGTATGTAATCTGATGCTGTAGATCTGGCCACAGGAGGGCATCAGCGCACCTCTTCTTTACTGCCTTTGAAATGACATTCAGTGAGGAAGGAGCTGCTCCTCCCCCGTCTGTGATTGGCTGCCGCTGGTACACACAGTACATGATCTGACACAACACACTATTGAACTTCTGAATCAGTACACAGGCATCCAATAACAATGATGAAAACTGATCTGAACCATGAGTCCTTATGAGATGCCTCACTCGTGTCTGTCTCCCCAGCAGAAATCACTGCAGCCCACTCGGTGAGGGGTGATCAGGTGAAACGTGTGGAGCTCCAGCAGCCCTCCGTCTCTTACGTAACCCGTCCAGCTGGTGTATCCAGGGAGGTTTCCCAGGGCTTAGGGAGCATGCCTGGGGCGCCTGGAAGCTTCTGTGAGGTGTGAAGACTTTTTATATTTGGACAGTCTCGAGATGGACTGACTGTGCCGTTCTCTTTATAGAGCCGCACATCTGTCATATTCAGACATTTCATTTAATTCCCTTGCGCCAAACAAATAAGCCCCCAGATTTGGGTATCTTAGAGCTTTGGCAGGTTTATATTGGATTGAGTTTTCATCATTTGGAGCGTTTCGGCCTGTGAATGAGCCTGGTGATATTTGCATTATTAGGATTTAGATGTTACATAATGCAGCGTCCCAGTGGTGCAAACTTGTCTGTAAACACTTTCCCGCTGGCGTTTTACTTTTCCACCGGCTTCATTTGCAGTTAGTGTAAAAAAAATCAAAGTTGACGGTGTAATTGGCCATGAGAGATTGAGTGTAATTACCGTTATGGAGCAGGAATTACATCTTTGCAGATTTATGGTAAACGCTTTTATTTCTGTTTTGCAGAAATATTGTGAAGAAATAAATATGTAAAGAGAAGGTTTCTCCCAACAATTGGGTAGATGACATGCAAGTGTGTCCATGGACAACTTTAAAATATGAATGTATAAGGAATATTTTGGGTCTTGCAACTGCTCACAGTGTTTTACATTTTACATCATTTTGAATCACCCTTTTTGCCTTCACTACTTACGAATGATCCTGCAGTGACAAATACATTTTTTAAAGTTAAAATATATCATGGAGTTGCTCAACGAGGTCATAGTAATAATAAAAACAATATGCATGTATCAATTATTATTATTGTGCATGCAACTAATAATGCCATCACTAAATATTTATCCTTGTAAATCATTATTATTATTATTATTATTAATATGTACATGCACCTTTTGTTATGTCATTGAATATGTATACTTGTAAGTTATTCATATTTATTATTATTTTTATTGTTATTGTGTATGCACCTAATAATACATCACTGAATTTTTGTCCTTGTAAATCATTATTATTATTATTATTATTATTATGTACATGCACCTTTTATTGTCATTTAATATTTATACTTGTAATGTTATTCATATTTATTATTATTATTATTATTGCACCTAATAATAATCACGAAATATTTATCCTTGTTTTATTATTATTATT